TCTTACAAACGCGGGACCCTCAGGAAAGGCAAATTTCGGCCAAGGCCTGGAGGTACCTGGTCTCAAGCTAGGTCCATGTACAGCCAGGGGGGGGGGTCCGGCGTTTTACAAACGCGGGACCCTCAGCAAAAGCAAATTTTCACGAGTTTTCGGCCAAAAAACTCGGTTTCAATTTCGTTAAAAAAATAAAAGATGTCCATTTTGACGAAATGGTCGTTACCCTAATAATGAATGCATACAAGCTATATTTCCGGCCAGATACAGCCAAAATAAGGGTGCGTTGTGTTCGGGGGAAGACCGTAGTAAGCTATTCTTTACAAGACTGTCAGGAGGACAGAAAAGATTTGTACCGAGAGTTAATATGTTTTTTTGTTTTTTTTTTTTGTTTTTTTTTTTGTTTTTTTGTTTTTTTTTTTTGCGCCTTTTGTTTTGTTTTTTGTTTTTTGGCAGTGAAAATTTTCATCTAAACTGTTTTGGTTGTTTCCTTGCATACGCTGACTTCCCGGAGTGCGGGGGCTAGTTGTCAGTGGCAGGTTCACCGTGTGGGCACGTCCTTTGGACGTATTTCACCAACTCGGAGGACCAGGTTCCATCTGGTAAGAGGATTCAGGAATCTCAACTTGATTCAAGTTGATTGCGGGCAATGCGGAGAGGTGCAGAAAATCACGCTTTTCCGGATCTCTGCATAGTGGGACATACCGGTAGCCCCTTGCACGGGTCGTCACCAGGGGCTAGGTCCCCCTTGCACGGGTCCTCAGCGGAAGTAGTGCTTGCTTGATTGATGTGGGACTATAGGCAGACATGTGGCAGTAAGGCATACATTACCCTCCTCTGGCGGGAGGAGGGGAGCTATGCCGGCAGTCTGTTTGCCGAAGCTGGAGTTGCATTGAGATGGATGTTTAGTGGATAGCATAGTGGAGAAAATCAGCAGGAGAGATAGGAGGGGCGAGTGCTTCGGCACGGGACTCAGTTGGAAGGTGAAGGCTGAGATCAGATGGGATAAGTGCGAGGGGGGGGGATTTGCCTTAAGGTGGATGTTTAGTGGATAGCAAAGAGGAGAAGATCAACAGGAGAGGACGGAGGGGCGAGTGATTTCCACAAGACTTAGTTGGAAGGTGTGATGACGCGTTCCGCGGGCAAGTTTTTTTGGGGGGGCAGCGGCGCGCGGGTCACAACCCATGTTTCGGATAGTCAAAAAAAGCACTTGCACGTGCAGGTCCATGGCGGTCCCAGTTAGTAAAAGCAAGAAAAGCACATGGCGGTGCTTCACAAATGGGCCATCATGTTAGTATTGACTCTTGAGCAGTTTTGTCATTCTGTGGACGGGTTCCTTCCTTCCCACGTGCCGGGCCAGTCCACAACTTGTACTGTTTTTGTGCCTTCCCAAGTCTTGAAACTCCAGCCATGTCAAAGTTATGGTCACCGTGGTGGTGCACTGTTTTTTTCTGTCCATTTCGAACTAAAAATGTGACTAAAGTTCAGTTTTCCCTTTTTTGCTTTTTTTTCTTTTGCGCAGGCCCTGGGGCCATGCGGACCGTTTTTGTGTGTGTGGGAATCCACCGGCCTGGTGGCCTCATATTTAACATACACATCCCTTTGCGCTATTCTATGAGGTTCAGTAACCGGCGTAACAGTACCTGACCCTCCCGGGGGAAGGTGATCCTCAATGGATTTTATTTCTTCAAGTTTAAACCACCAGTACTTGGCCCAGCTATCGATGCCGAGCCTGGAATGCCGCCGAAGTGCTGGGGTACCATTTCAATTTTCTTTTGGCTGGCGCTTCCAGCCATTGTGGTCCAGTACCCCGAAGCCCTAAAGGCGGGAAAGCGCCGCAGGCGATAGCTGGGCCAAGTACTGGTGGTTTAAGAACAGACTTCTGTTACATGCTGCGGCACAGCTGCGCCTGCAACAGGCTGCACGGGCCATTTCCAGGCCCGTGACGATTTCAGGCCAAAAGCCTGAAAACAAGGGCCTACAGGCCCTGTGTCGTTTCAGCCTGGAAGCTTGAAAACAAGGGCCTACAGGCCCTGTGTCCTTTCAGGCTAAAGACCAGGGTTTTAGCTCAGGCCATTTCTGGCCTATTTTCAAGACAACCTTTGTTTGAGCTTCAACCCCAGGGTCTGGCACGTTGAGGCATTGGCAAGAGCAGCCTCCTGGACGGGCCAGCACTATATAGGACTGGCCCGCCCTGCAGGCCAGCAGGTAGTTGCTAGGTAGTTCCTAGGTACTTCCCAGGCACTTCACGTGCAGTTCAGGAGGCAGGAGGTAGTCTTCAGGATTCGGCAGCAGCACTCTGGAGGAGCGCTGCGGGAGTAGTAGTAGCGTTAGCACTAGTCTTCAGCACTGGGCGCTAGTAGCGTTAGCTGTAGTCTTCAGCGCTGGGCGCCATAGCAGCTAGAGTAGTACTATAGAGAGAGAGATTGGGCGGAGGCCAGAGAGACTTACCTGCRGCRCCATTGCTCCMGCTTCGTCTTCGAGGTACCYGCAGCACAGCGCCATCTTCACAGGTTAGTACCTGGCACATGAGAGAGAGAGAGTTCTTCTTCTTCCTCTTCTCAGTCCACCATCTCCTTCTCACCCTCTCGCTATCTGACTTCACTGCATCAGCAGACTATGAGAGAGAGAGAGAGAGAGAGCTTGGTGACATTTGGATCCAGACTCGACATTGGACTTCAGACATTTTGACGAGATTATTTGGGACTTGTAACGAGACTTGGTGTTGACGACTTTTCCATCTCTCCCCTCCTCTTCTCCGTCTGATCCGCTCCTCTTCGTCTGTGCATGAACTGGACCTGGCGCCTTCTTCCTGTGTACAGCACCAGGCCCCTTCACACTTGTGATGAGAATGATGTATGTGGGGTCTGCGTTGAAACGTCGATTGGGCTAGTCATTAGTATTCTAGCATTCTGCTTCGCTATCTTGTACTACGTGAAAGAGGTCAGTCCCGGTCAGGTCAGGACTTGTATCTAAATCTTCCACTGCGCTATAAAACACCATTTTGTATGTATTAGGATGTACATTGCTTGTTGAGATTCTACTTGCACTGCATTGTCCATTCAGTCCTTTTCATCACATTGCCGATCCTTGGTTTATATGTACATCGCCCAACTGGGCATGTAACACTTCCCTGCCGTTCTCCCTGTTAGAGTAGAGAATGAGAGAAACGAGGATAGTGCCCCCAGTACCGTGACTTCGCCATACTGTGACCCCTCGGGTTCTGATAAACCCACCTCCCAGGCAGTGCCGTACCCCCGTTCACCGTTCACGGGGTCTGTGAACGGAGACCGGTCATGGAGTTCACGGAGTTCACGACATGGGAGTTCATGGAGTTCATGG